AGAATGAAACTGAACCCTTACATCATAAACAAATATCAATTCACAATGGATTAAAGACTTAAATGTTAAATCTGAAATTAGAAAACTACTAGAGGAAAACATTCATGACATTGGTTTTGGCAACTGTGTCATGAATAAGACACCAAAAGCAGAGGCAACAGAAACAAAATTAGAAAGTGGCCATCATAAAACCAAAAAGCTTCTGCACAACAAAATAGACAATAAACAGAGTGGGAAAAGCAAACTAAGAAATGGAAGAAAAATATCTGCAAACCGTTGAAGACTGATTAAAGAATCAACATCCACTCGGTCTATACCCAAAGGATTTAATATCAGCATACTATCGTGACTCAGCCACAACAATGTTTATAGCAGCTGAATTCACAATAGCTAAACTGTGGAACCAACCTGGATGCCCATCAATAGATGAGTTGATAAAGAAACTGTGGTATATACACAATGGAATATTAATCAGCATTAAAAGAGAATAAAGGGCTGCGCTGTGGCTCAGTGGTAGCGCACTTGCCTAGCATGTGTGAGGCACTGGGTTCAATTCTCAGCACCACGTATAAATAAATGAATAAAATAAAGGTCTATTAATATTTAGAAAATAATTTTAAAAAGAGAGAATAAAATCATGGCATTTGCAGGTAAATGGATGGAGTTGGAGAATATTATGCTAAGCAAAGTAAGCCAATCCCCCAAAACTAAAGGTCGAATGTTTTCTCTGATTAGTGGATCCTGAGCTATGATGGGGGGAGGACACGGGAAGAATGCAGGGACGTTGGATTGGGCAAAGGGGAGGGTGGAGAGGGGTCACATGGATAGGAAAGATGGTGGGATGAGATGCACATCATTATCCTAAGTACATGTATGATTGCATGAATGGTGTGTCTCGACATCGTGTACAACCAGAGTACTGAAAGGTTGTGCTCCATTTGCGTACGATGAATTGAAATGCATTCTGCTGCCATGTACAACTAAGCAGAACAAACAATAATAAAAAAAATGAAAATAATAAACAATTCATAGAACTTTAAAAAAAAAAAAAAAGAATTAACATCCAAAACACAAGCAGGGTATAGTGGTGCATGCCTGTAATCCCAGTTACTCAAGAGCCTAAGGCAAAAATATCACCTAAACCCAGGAGTTTGAGATAAGTATGGGCAACACAGCAAGACCCTGCCTCAGGGAGGAGAAGGGAAATATATAAATGAAATTCCTATAACTCAAAAATAAAAACAACTAAAACCTGATTTTAAAATGGGCTAAAGACTTCAGTAGGCATTTCTCGAAAGATGGCATACAGCCAATAGGTATAGGCAATGCAACTGAAAACCTCAATGAGATGACACCTCACACCTGTACTGGTGAGGATGTGGAGAGACTAGAGCCCTGGCACACTGCTGGCAGAGAGGTAAGACAGTACAGCCTCTATGGAAAACAATTTGGCAATTCCTCAAGAAATTAGATATAGAATTATCACATGATCCAGCAATTCCTCTTCTGGATATAAACACAAAGAACTGAAAGCAGGGACTTAGATACCTGTACACTCATACCAGCATTATTCACAACAGCCTAAAGGTGGAAACAACCCAAGTCTGCATTGACAGCTGAATGGATAAGCAAAATGTGTTATATACAAAAACAGATTGTTCTTTAGCCTTAAGGAAATTCTGACACACACTCCAATATGGATTAACCTTGAAAACAGTATGCTAAGAAAAATACACCAAATACAAAAGGACAAATATTGTAGAATTCAACTCATATGAACTATCTGGAGTAGTCAAGATCATAAAGACAGAAAATACAATGGTTATTAGCAGCTTGAGGGAGTAAGGGAGTCTTTGTTTAATGGATATAAAGTTTCAGTCTGAGATGATGAAAAACTTCAGGAGATGGACAGTGGTGGTGGATGCACAACAATGTGAATTACTTAATGCTACTGAACTGGACCTTTAGGCAAATTTTATGTTATGTACATTAATCACAAGAAAAATATTAAACAAAAATTATAGCACTATATGGAAAAACAAAAAAGAGTTGAATAATTTTTAAAAGTTAGACACAAGTCCTAGAGAAAAGGCAAGTATTGACAGACACCCTAAATATGAATAATTTGAGGAAGAAATGCCAAACACTGGAAATCCACTGCACTTGGGTGTTAGGGTCTGTAAACAAAGTGTACTTATTGTCCTGATTCTACTGAAGGTGAAGTGCACTTGACCACCCAGGGGTGCTGAGCTGAGGAAAATGGGGTGAGGAGAGACAGAACTAAGAAACTATGATCAGAAAATCACTGCCAAAACTGAGTTGTTTCCAATGAAGTAGACAAAGGTAATAAAGCTCTGGACTACCATAACATGGGTCCCTTTCTCAATAATAATTACAGAATATCTAATTAATTAATAAAAATAAAGCCAAAGACAAATACACCAATGGGACAGCACAGAATCCAAAATTAAACCTCACAAATATAGAGCTGCCTGTGGCAAAGGTCATAAATAGTGCCAAAGTGATTAAACATTTATGTGAAAAAAATATGATTCCTACCTCATACTATATACAAAAAAAAATATTCAAATGCACTGTAGATTCAGATGGGAAGGGCAATTAAATAAAGCACTGAGAGAAAATCATAAGAGAATATCTTCATACCCTAGGAGTAAGCAAAGATTCCTCAATCTTTTTTTCTTCTTCTAGTCAGTCTTGGGGATTGAGCCCAATGGTGCTCTACCACTGAGCCACACCCCCACAGTTTTTATTTCTTATTTTGAGACAGGATCCTACTGCCCAGACTGGCCTTGAATTTACAATCCAATTGCCTCAGCCTCCAAAGAAGGTGGGATTACAGGCATATCTAACATCATGATGCCCTACTGCAAGGAAAGGTTTCTTACTCAGGACATTTACTCATCATACAGGAAAACATTTTGCGAAAATGAACTATAGTAAGAACTTATATGTACGTCAAAATACACTCTACTGTCAGTATATCTAAAAAAAAAAAAAAAAAAAAAAACAGATTTTAAAAAGTGAAAAAAAGAACTTATGTTCATCAGAACAATATCATTAAGTGTGAAAAGTTATCCAGAGAGTGGGAAAAAAGTATTTGCAAAACACATATGTGTCAAAGAAATCATATTTAGAACAAAAAACCTGCAAATCAATACTACCAGGGGCTGTGGCTCAGTAGTGGAGTGCTTGCCTAGCACGTATGAGGCCCTGGGTTCAATCCTCAGCACCACATAAAAATAAATGAATAAAATAAAAGTATTGTGGGGCTGAGGATATAGCTCAATTGGCAGAATACTTGCCTCGCATACACAAGGACATGGGTTCAATCTCCAGCACCACATACACACACACACAAAAAAAAGGCAAATCTTACTGTATGTTAATTGTACCTCAATAAAATTGACACAAAAATTGTTTTTTAAAAAAAAGAATAAAGGTATTGTGAAAAAAAAAAAAGTAGACACTACTGGGCACGGTGGCGCACACCTGTAATCCCAGCAGCTCTGTAGGCTCAGGCAGGAGGATCTTGAGTTCAAAGCCAGCCTCAGCAATTTAGGAAGGCCATAAGCAACTCAAGAAAAGTTCAATCCCTGGTACCAAAAAAACATACATTTATATACACATATACACACACACACACACAAATTTTAAAATGGAAAAAGAAAACCTTGAAGATATTTCACAAAAGATTATAAATGGCCACTAAACATATAAAGTGGTGCAAATTCATTATACATCATGAAAAGGCAAATTAAAAACCTTTGTACAATGAATACCCTGACATCCTTGCTAAAATGCAACAATTTTTTAAAGGGCTCGAAAATAATATCAAGTGTTGGTAAAGATGGCAAGCACCACATTAGTGGTGGTGGGGGGGGGACTGTTTAAAAGCATCCACTAAAATGAACAAATAAATAGCATCTAACCTAGAAAATTTCATTTATAGGTCTACACCCAACGGAAATGCACCCACCCGGTCACCAAAAGACATGCACAAAATTATTCATGGCCAAAATCTAGAAAGCACTGAAGTACCCATCAACAATGAAAACAAAAAACTAAAAATAAATTGTGCTACAGTGACACAACTACAGCACTAAGAATGAATTATAACCACATACAACATGGAGAAATTTCACAACTCAGTGTTAAGTGAAAGAAACTAGATACAAATGAGTGCACACTGTAAGATCTCATTTGTATGGCAGCAAAACATCATCTACAGTGTTAGAAGCCAGGGCAGTGGTTAACTTTCGTTGGAGCTGAGGGTACACAAAGCGAGGGAGAGGGGGGAACCTCTAGTAAAATTCTGGTTCTTACTCTTGATACGAAATTGCACAGATGTGTTTAGTAAGAAATACACACAGGGGTACACCTATGATTATATACATCTCCCTGTATAACATTCATTTTTAAAAAAAAAAAAAAAAGCAAATTCCACTATCTGAAATTTTGCATCTCCTTCTATGCCAAGCAAGGTATGACTTGGCAAGCTGATTCTCAATTTTCAAGAACCATAAGTACACAAA